AATTCTAATTTTTCCAATATCTTGAATCTATACTGCAGCGTTGCCTTTCACCAACTTTGATGTTTAACAACCCAGGTATCACTTTGCTTGCCTTGATTGCCTTTTAACTCAAAAATCACAATATTTCTGACTCATTAAGGCCACACAAGTCTATTAAATGAGACTTTAAAGGCTTAAAAATGACTCCTGGCCATCCAGAAACCACATACATAAGTTAATCTACAAGCTTAGTGCCTGGATATGAATTCTGAAGCCTTGCATGTGATTTATTCATGCAAGTGCTTTATTTTTAACTATGCTTCTAGATGGATGAAAAGATTAATTGATGAACCTGAAGCGCCACACTTTCACACCTAAATACATGTTTTTTTTTATTACATAACATCCACTGAACAATTAACAGTTTCGGGCACGTTCACGTTTATCCCATTGTTCAGCTAAAAAAAGAAAAAGTTTCAATTCAGGCTATACATAAAGCCATCGCGGGGAGTCTAGAGGAAGACGAGCAGCCCGCACGCTGACATCCACTCATTGGAGAAAGGAATGTTTTTCATCTCGATATCAAAAAAAGCTCTTGAGCGCTGCAGTACAAAAGCAGGTTGGGGATGTGTACTGCGTCCATGGAGGGAGAGCAAATGAATAGAGCTGAGAGATGAAAGAAAAGGGCTATAAAGGTCTGGAAACAGAATTGCTCAATCGATCCCATTCCCCTCCCATTCCTCGCCTCCTTCTCCCCACCTCACACTCTCTCCCCGCTGTGAGACTTTGACACTGTGAAAGGACATTGAACTCCTGTAGACTCCGTTTACACAGGATACTAGCATCTAATCACAAGTCTACAGAGATATAGGTGTAAATGGGGTCCAAAATGTTTGGATAAAATCTCTCACATCACATTCAGAGGTAGTCGAAAAATGCACATGACATGGCATTTGTAGAGTAAACTCTAATCCGTTTTGAGGCGTCCAGGGAAGCAGTGAAGGACCGCCTACTCACCAGTCAATCCACCACTCCGCTAAAACAAAGATATTTAACGTCAACATAAAAGGAAACAAGTTTGCCCATTGGCCTCTATCCATCATGGCCTCCTAAATCATCCCTGTATCTGCTTATCTGTATCCTCACCACCAATAAGCTGGTCGTGGTGAGCGTTCGCAATATGGCTGCCGTTGCATCACCCAGGTGGACGCTTCCCCCATTTAATGCACCAGCACTTTCAGTGCTAAGAAAAACGCTAAATAAATGTAACGAATTATAATTATAATTATTATAAATATCATTTTTGGGTTCTGTAGAATAAAGATAATAAGAATGGGTCAACTATTCCTTTTAAAATAATGCAAAGCATTCTGAACAAACATCACGTAGGTGGCGAGATTAAAACTCAAAAAATATGGAGCATGCTGCAACAGATGGCCAATTTGTGATCAAATAAGCAGGACAGATTTCAATAACGAGATGAAGAATTAGAAGGGGAAAGACTGTGGACAGTCGTTCCTCAGATTTCAGTCACAGAAAAGCAGAAGGTTAGAGCTCTTGGCGTAACATTAATTTGCCTTTTATGCTGCAGAACAATGCAACCCAAGTCTTGAGTTCATGCATGCATACCTGTAAGGGAGTGTACTTTAAAAGCTTGCCTGGATAGGTCTAACTTGAGACTAATTTTCCAGCAAAGGGTGAAACCAGGTTGACTTAGGCTCCACCCCTCTGATGTGTAAACAGTTTTTTTGTCCAGTTGGCTCTACTCACCATTTGGCTAAATCTTTCCCTGACAATCACAGTGGAATTGTGTAAGCAGTGTCTGCATGTGGAGGTGTGTCCCTCCATAGTTCACTGGCACTCGAGTGTGACAAGTTAACCTTGCATGCATCTGTCACAAGCTCAGTTGGGTTCATCAAACTCAACTCCATTGACACCGTAGTAGTTTGAACAGCGCAGCTACTAAGGTGGAGTAAGAATGAGCACTTCAAGTGGCAGGTGTGTGTGTAAAAGCAAACAAATGCGCAGACGCACTAGTGCAATTGTGATTAGGTCATACTCTGTGTCTTAATTACTGCTCATTAGCATTTAAAAGTAAGTGGTACTCGGGCCATCAAAAAGAGATTTGCTTAGCACTGAGCAATTCACCACCGCACAAATCCCTCTTAAAAAAAAAGCATTCACTGCATAATCAGAGCAGACAGCTTAGTCCCCAGGTTGCAAAGGGCAGCCCATACCGTTTGAAATGTACTACAACCACACAAAAAAGGGGAAACACTAATCCGCTCGCTCTCCGAAACAATAGGATTTTCATTAAAAAACGCTAGGATTTCTTAATCATCCAAGAGCCATGGAAATGTAAACTAATAATAAACCAAGCATGCGGCGGCAATAATCTGCAGAACACGGTGAAACTGCAGCACGGTGACCTTGCACCTTATTTATTTGAACATGCAGGTCTTTCAACAATCAACGCCAGAAATATGATCCCTGTAAATTTCATTTCTCACTACAGCTGTCTTTGGCTGTTTATGGCATGCAAATTCTAAAAGTGAATTAAATCTCTTCAAAAAAACTGAATCCAAAGGAAGATGTTTTCTTTCTATTTGAACAGCCCTTTGGGAGTAACAATGCATTTTTTTGCCTATGGACAAATATCCTATAAGCTGTAAATCTGCACACAACTAAATCCAAAAATGTAAGCTACTGTATATACATTGCATAGGACAGAATAGAATAGATTAGAATATGCTGCATTTGTCCTATCAACAATGAACCATTGCATAATTAAGTCCATTCAAAAGCAAAAGCTCTACAGTACACATTGCATCATAGTCTAGTCGAGTCTATTCTAGTATAGTATATTAACTGATGTAAATTTTCTACAAATGAGTTTAATAAATTAAAAAAACTAACAAAATAATTTACAATAAGTAATAACTTTATTTAGTTTTCTTTCTCTCTACTACACTGATCTCACTATAAAGTTGTGTGAGATGTTTTCATTTGCTAGCTTCGGTAAATGTTTTTATATATGTATGTTTTATTGTTTTTAGATATAACTGAAGCACTTTAGGCAACAACGTTGCTATTAAATGTGCTATATTTAAATAAATAAAAGTTAAAGTTGAAGTAGAATTTAGAATACACAGTAGGCCTACAGTACAATAAAGTATAGTGGTTTAGCAACAGTCCCATGAGCCATAAACATTAGCCTACATATGAGCCACAATCAGCTCAGCTCAAGTTAAAAGTGTTAAAAAGTGATAGATGTGCAATAAATCGTTGCAAAACCTCATTTAAAACGGTTATTTACACAATATAGTTTGGTAGTGTTCAGTATGGAACTGTTTGTAAAATGCAAAAACTCAAGGCTACATGTCGCATAGTAGCCTATATTAATAAACAGTGCGCACAGTACAGTATAGTATGTGACATCATGATACTGGCACTAACGAAAGACCCACTTTAAAGGCTGATTTATACTTCTGCGTCGAGGGTACGCCGTAGTGTACGGCGTTGGCTACGCACGTAGGCGACGCCGTTGTGAGCATTTATACTTCTGCGTTCAGGTATTGGTTGCTCTGCAGTACTGCTCCGAAACGCTAGGAGGCGGCGGAGGGTTTTAATGTTCCACTGTGTTTAGATTCCTCGCGGCTAGATTACTACAAGCAATAGCGACTGAAAGAGAGTGGATCATGTTGGAGTTGGAGCTTATTGGGGTGGAAAAACAGTTCATATTAGTGAAATTACTAAAACTGAAAGGCAGAAATGAGAGAAGACGTCGGAGGAGAAGGTACGTGCGGAAATGCGTATGAGGAAATACGATGCTACCAAGCCGACCAATCACCGATCTTGCGGTCCGCGTCGTCGCGACGTGTAGTTACATTTTTGAAGAGGTGCGCGTCAGGCAACGCGGAAGGGTACGCGGTATGGGACGCGTCTGTGCGTATGCTACGCCGTACCTACTGCGCGCACCCTACGCAGAAGTATAAATTGGCCTTAAGGCTGTCTGTCTTAAACATCTGTTTACATAATCGGCGTTTACATAAATTGCACCGTTTATTTAGTAAAGCAACAAAACCCGGCAATGCATGTCGGTCACAATGCATCTAGCGCCCCTTCAGCCCTGCCAACACATGAAATATACACAGCAACAGCTCATTATATAACCAGCCGGGATGAACCGAGTGACATCACGACGGGATACACTCAATGGCTGCGTCTCCAAACCTAGTAAGGCTGCCTACCTAGACAGCAGTAGTAGAGCCAATTCAGAACGTGCCAAACAAATCACACTGCGTTTTAGGAATGATACATTATGATGCCCGAAAACGACGCGTGTTGAGTATTAAAACACAGCCAGTTTATATTAAAAAAGTGACAGGGAAACGGAGACAAATGTTGTCACCTACTATTAAGGGCTATTACTGTATCAATTAAAAAGACACTTCACTTGCATAGACCGCGTCGCCGAGGATTAAACACTAGTGCGCAAGGGTTGACATTGCAACTCTTGCTAAAACTTCCGCGATTGTGTTTTCACATCAAAAGCCTTCCAGCAACAGTGTTGACTCAGCAGAAGTGCGCACGGATACGGAGAGTGACAGTGTCTTTTAAAAAGTACAGCTGACTGATCATTAATCCCCCGATAACTTGACGTTTATAAATCGACCAGGAGCGATGGAAGAAGGCGGGGTGGCGCAGTTACTCCAGCCCCGGCGAGAGCGCTCCCTGCTCGGGCTTACAGCTCGCAAGTAACCGCCCCGCTTCCCGTGCGCTACTTCAAAGTAGTTATATAATTTTTAATCGAGATGATAAACAGCACATCTTGTACGTCTCGCCCAGTCGATCGCAGGCAAGGTGGCATAATAATTAGTGCAAATGTCACAGTAAATATTTACAAGGGTTTTGAAATAAACGTCACATTCTGTTCCCCCTGCGTCTTTTAGTTCCCAGACATTTTCCCAAGCAAACCCAAAAGACAGTTTTGTGCTGGTAACACAAATGCACGGACTTACTGTACGGTTTAACGGGCAGGGAAGCGCGAGGCTCTCCGCGTTGCCAGGGCTCCGTGCGTTCTCGCGCACTACTGGTGGAATCGTCTCCCCTAGTACAATGATGTCTGCTGCAGCCCGAGCTAATAGCTCTATCGCTCCGTGCCCCCACCTCCAGTGAGTGAGTGAGTGAGTGAGTGTGTGTGTTTGACGGAGGGAGTGAGTGTGTGGAGGCGTGCGTAAGAGTGTGTGTGAATGTGTAATCCAAATATGGAGCAGTTGGCCGGCCCAGTTACAGAAGGGGTGGGAGGTTGTTCCATTAAAAAGTATAAGAAAAACATAATGACGTTTGTGGCTCCGTAAACAAATCGTAGTTTAGAATAATAATAAAAAACGTTTAGTTGCTCTAATCTAAATGACAGAGCGGTGTTCATCTACATTTAGGCTACTACAACAACACTGGGAAGTTGCACTAAATGTTCAATTCGCTCAGAACAGGGAACGGGAAATTGAAACGAGATTACAGAACGATATGAGCCATGAATCTGTCACTCCGCTCCACTCATTTAAAGTGATCCAGACCGGCCTTTAGCCTGTACTTTAATAGGCAAACTAAGCTTGGCTTCTGGAACTTTGCCAGCGATAGTTCTTTTTTTAATGAAATGTACAAAATGTGACGATTTTGTCTGAAATGTAAGTTTCTCGCTTTTAATTTCTTAATTCTATTACTTTTTAATGAAAGAAATATAACAAAAAATGCAGCATGTCAGTAGTTATATGTGCGCATTGTAGTATAAATAACTTAATTATCTGCATGATTGTCCCACCAAACCAGTTCAGCCCAAACCTGCAGCCGAATTCATCAAGAAAGGTTCAGAATTCATGGATTCAGTTCAGCCTTCAGAAATATTATGGCTGGATCCGATCACAACAAACAGTGATATGCTATCTATCAGAATGTGCTGCAGCTAAAGCTATTTTAAAATTAAATTCGGGATGAAATACAAGTTGCAAGGTCCTTTTCATCCTTATTGTGACGTATATCCGAGTTAAACGACTTTTCGAACAAGAAGAAATGTAGGGCGGGACTTGATCGGGAATTTTTTTTTTTTTTTTTTTTTAGGTCACCAGGAAATGCATCATCAGATAAAAGATGTTGCTGCATGTGGGAGGGGAAGTTATTTTGATGAAAGATTATGGGGGCACATTAATAAAAACAAAAAATGAAATGCATGGATAAATAATTTACATTACATACTGAAATGTACAGTATTTCATGGTGACTTTAAGGTTAGGGTTAGGCTTTAGTCTTGGTTAGGCAATCATCAGTGCAGTACAAGATAAAACTATTTTCGCCACAAACCAGTGTGTTTTGATTATGATAATAAATAAAAATAACATGATTACAAATACCAGTTAGTTTACAACATCAAGAGATAAATAAGAGCAAAAATAACTGGAAGGAGCTGACATGGCATGTACTCGAGTAAATACTCGAGTAATTTTCTGTTCTGCTTGAGTAGAACTGTTTCAACATGACATGTAGGGTTATTGTTAATTGTGCTATGGCATACCCGTTTAAGTAACAATGGTAGTCTATAATATTTTCTTTGAATATTTACTCTTGCGATTTAACCCCCATTATGGAGGTGAATAGAATTAGACTAAATGTTAAACGCATGCACTCACACACTGACACATTGTGGTCAGTGTTTGGGAAGGGACTTTCCAGAAGAGTTTGCTCCTGTGTTTCTATGGAGACTATAACATAACTATCCACCACCCTGGAATTACATTAGCATATCTGCATTATTATTTAAGAGTTTCAGTGCAGCATTTTGTCGAGAAGTTTTACGTGTTCAAAAGATTTGAGAACATTGCCAAAACAACCAGATCTTTAGAAATTACAACAGTCCTCAACACTCAAAAACACTCAACACTCAAAAAGAGAGGGATAGATAACTGAGACATAAATTCTTTATTCTGTGAAACACAAAAGGAGAGGAATACGATGCCTGCTCTTTTCAGTATAACAAAAATAAACTGGGTTTATCGATTCTCAAACTGACAAAAAAAAGCAGTATTACAATAGTACAAAAAAAAGTTTGTGAGAGGAACAGACTGAAGTTTAAGTGGTTATTTACTGATAACGGTCTCCACTGAAGTACTGAAATGGACTGGAAAAATGCATGGTGCATTATCACAAAATGACGTCTAGTCACCAAACATTACTCACGTAGTGTCTAATGAGCGACCTGTTCGAACTCGTTCATCAAAATGAACAAATCTTTATCCGAGTCAATTCATTCGTTTCATTCGTTGAATGAACCAAATGATTCGTAAAAAGATTTGTTCATTTTGATGAACGAGTTCGAACAGGGGACTCACGAACGTGCGTAACAGAACAGAGCAAGGTGACCATTTGAGCTTATAAAACGTAAACTTTGTTATTTATTTATTAAATGAGCGATCGTTTCGCTTGATAAGACCCTTATTCATCGTCTGGAATCGTTTAAAGCCCTTTCAGTTTGTACTGAAAGTGTTGAACCGTTTGGATGTCAGTAAAGTCCATTATATGGAGAAAAAATGCTGGAATGTTTTCATCAAAAAGCTTAATTTCTTTTCGACTGAAAAAAGAATGTTATGGACATCTTAGATGACATGGGGGTAAGTAAATTATCAGCAAAAGTTTTGTTCAAAAGTGTACTACTCCTTTAATGAGTAATGGGTGTGTTTTGGGCATAACGTGCAATAAGTCTCATCTCCCGTTCACTTTAAAAGCCAGTTAAGATTGTGCAATGACGGATTCACTATTTACATGGCAGAATTTGCAAACCTCAAAACTGAACACTAGCAAGGAAACGGATCTGCTAGCGCATGAGGTTAAAGCGCGCAAGCAGACCATCTACGGGACAAAGTGTACGCGCATTGTGGACCTGCCTATAGGCATTACTAAATCGCTCTTTAAATAACAAATAAAATATTGCGCCATTAACTTTAGACCAGCTCGCGAGCACCTCTCTGAAACCTAAAATGACAAACGGTTAACGAAAACGTGCACGTGGCGGCCTATAAGTCCACAAGACCATAAGTGCATGAAGTGTGCCATTTGGAACAGGGCCCAAGACTGTTGCGAAGGATAAAAGTGAGTGTGAATGTGTATTTGTGCATGAGTGAGTGGCAAGGCCGCTCTCTGTGGATGTGCTATTGATCTTCTGTGAGGAGGGTACGTTTAGGCCTTTCCCTGTGGGCCTGATGCTGTTTACACTTAGTGCCCTAATGATCAGCCACTGCTTCTCCAACACACACACACACACACATCCACGTGCTAGACCACACAATCATACAAAGCCTGCTAAAAAAACACATGCAGTATTCAATATGAAAATGATGGATGCTGCAGCAGCATTTCACTTTCTGTAAATACCGACAGACTGAGTTGTCTGTACCTGTTTTCGCACCACACCCAAGCACTGAGACTATCTGCCTGTCAAATGCACAGCACTCTTCCTTCTTCCCCTGGCATGTCAGATGTTCATCTGCATATCAGCCACGCACTTTATGCCAGTCTTTACTCCGCCTGCAAGCACAGTCACGCTCGGTAGGCATCTTGTCAAGTTGTATTCACCGTGATGGAAGGACATGTTGATTCCTATACCTTATTTCTGCTATATTATCGCAGCCACAGATGTCTTGAAGTTGAATAGAGTTCGGCTTGTCTGAGGAAGAATGTGTGCAGATTATGGGAAATGAAAGAGGGCTGTTTCTGAATGGGTTTCATCAAGACGTCTGCCCTCTACTGGTCACAGAAAGAGATTTGCTGTCATGCAAGGTCTAGCATGCATGAGTGATTTCCTTACTGAAGCATTTCAAATATTGTGAAATGTGAGGGGTGGGTCAGTGGGAAATAAAAGTGTTTTAACAAAGAAAAGGAATCTTGTATTAATGCTGTTTTCCAATGGTTTTGACGAATTCTAATTTTGCCTTGTGAGTTCACACATCTTAATCTTTTATTGTTAAAAATATATATGAAGGTTAAAAAAAATCATGCACTATTAATTCATAAATATTAGGTTTTTGGGGAGTTACACCACATTACTTGTTTCAAGTATTTAAATATAAATATTTTCCAAGAAATAATAATTAGAGATTATACCAAACAATTTATTTTAAAGAGTATAATTTTTAGATATCAGTTGTATGACTTTATTTTCAAATCTTCCCCCAGAAAACATCACAATTAATATTCATTCGTATATAAAGCTGTATTCAAGACAGTTTATGAATGAATTGCATTTTTAATTAACTTAATTTTGGTCAAAAAAAATATTGACCCGAAAGTAATGGCACACAAAAACATAAACAATGCCTTAGGCTTTAACAAAAAATTTAATACTAAATTCAATAGTCTTTTTTTTTTTTTTTTTTTTTTTTTTTACTAAACCAATTTCTCATTCTTTGGCAAACAACACTTGCTTAGCAAACATCAGTTACTATTACACATAATAAAAATAATAAATAGATAAAAAAAATAGTAGGGCTGTCAAACGATTTATCACATCCAAAATATATGTGGGTACACTGTGAATATTTATATTGTACATATAAATACACAAACATGCATGTATATTTAAGAAAAAAATATTATTTATATATAAAATATTTATATTTATATATAATATAAATTATATATACACAGTATATTCTTGAAAATATTTCTTAAATATATACAAGCATGTGTGTCTATTTATATATACACAAAATAATTATACACAGCGCACCCACATATATTATGTAAACACAAACTTTTATTTTGGATGTGATTAATTGCGATTGTTTGACAGCCCTAAAAATTGTGATTGAAATAGTGAGTGCAAGGTATTTTATGATATGATATGTCCCTGCAATACTCAGCTGAAAAAGAATCAGTCGTTTTTTCTGCTGTATGTTGAGGGAACTTTATATTAGAAGACGTTCCGCTTGAGCTTCAAGCAAATAGGAACTGCCCACACAGGTCTCTCTAAATTACATTCATCTGTTGTACAAACTTGACAGGGAAAATGTTCCCTTATCAGCCCTCACTCTCTCTCTCTCTCTCTCTGAGCTTCTTATGAGTTTCCACTGTAATAATAATTTATTGAACGGGAGATTGTCTTGTTGTGATAGTGGATAAT